ACTCTCAGCTTTTCGGTTGTGATCCTTTTTTAAGTTGATAGCTCCAAACAGCATCTAGAAACAACAGTAAGCACTATTTCACACAGGGTGTGTGGGTCAGGGGCTTGAGGCAGCTTAGCCAGGAGAGTCTGGCTTGGGACTTTCAGTCAGGTTGCAGTTGAGATGTTGGCCCAGGTGGCAGTACTCTGATATCTGTTTCCAACATGGCTGGCAAATTGGTAGGGGGCCTCAGTTCTTCCTAAATTAACTGGTAGGGGCTGTGTATGTCCTTACAACATGGAAGCTGGTTTCGCCCCAGCGGAAGTGATCCAAGAGAGAGGCAGAAGCTACATCTTTTATGACCTATAACCTCAGAAGTCACAAGCTATCATTTCTGCAAAATCTTATTGGTAACACGTCAGACCTGCTGCAGGGAAGAGCCAGTTGTGACTCCTAGTTGGATCTGTTTCTTTGATTTGCTTTTCGTTACTTTATTATTATAATCATACGTAATGGCTTACTCTGGGGACCCCTGCCCCTCTGCCTGACTACAAGTGCCTTTGTTCAGCTCACAGAGATAACTTGAACAAGCCCACCGGTGAATGGCTGCAGGAAAGAAATGAACACATCCCCTCCTGTGTTGCAAGATAAATGGCCTTTTTACTTGACTTCCTTACCTCCTAGCATCTAGATCCAGATAAGATGGTTATTTTGAGATATTAGTCTGCCATCTTCTCGGTCAGTTGGTTTTCCTAATGAAGTCGTATTCCTTGTTTCAACAGCTCTTCTCCAAGTTTATTGGCCTGTCATGCTGCGAGCAGAGAGAGCTTGGACTCTAGTGTTCAGTATGGGAATAGGATTGCATAAGGATATAAATCCCAGGAGGCAAGGATCATTGCAGGCCATCTTAACGGCTAGCTATCACATTCATCATGCCACTCTTTCCATTATATAGGAAACAAAAATCCCTCGTTTCCAACGTGGCTTTCCTACATGGTTGGAAAACTGGTAGGGGGCTTCAGTTCTTCCTAAATTAACTATAGGGCTGTGTACGTCCTTACAACATGGCAGCTGGCTTCACCCCAGAGGAAGTGATCCCAGAGAGTGAGGGCCTCTCTCTCTTGTGACCAATTTGGATTGGTATGTGACCAATCCAAAGGTCCTTGAGAAGGGATATTCCCTATTATTTATTATTGAATTTGTATTCTGTTACACATTAACTTGTAAGATACTGTTAATGTCAATAATTGCTAAATGTCTGACCAATGATGGACACAATGAAAAAAGAAATCTCTCTAGATAGTACATGTGGCTGTGTGAGGCCAGGCAGTGTGCTTTTCCTGGCTCCAGATTCCTTGATGCACTCCTCTGCTTACTGCTGCACAAGACCTACCACTCAGACTCAGAGCAAAAATTGAGATTCTGTTCTGAGAGGTAACTAACTGCTGAATAAAGTTGAGGAGAGACAAGGTCATATTTGGATTTTATTAGCTTCCTTCTGTTGTCAGTATACAGGATGGGTTGGTGGTGGGGAGGGAGAAAGAGCAATACTGGAGATGGGCCCATTGAAAGTCTGTTCCAGAGAGTCCCTTTATCACAGATAGTTTTATACTTGTTACAATTCCCGGCTCCTTCACTAACTAATTTGAAGCTCAGCACATTAATCTCACCTGAGCAATGTTATGTGCTGATTTAGTGTTTAAAAACATGAGGAGGGTGGGGAATGAGAAGAAGGAAAGAAAGAAGGAAGGAAGGGAAGGAAGGAGGGAGTGGAGGAAAGAAAAAAAAGGGAAAAGAAAAAACTCTGTAGTCGTTTTTTGCTACTACAAAATGAGCAAAACTCTGCTCATTTCTGTGGCATCAATACTTTCACCATAGCCAATTTCAAACTACAAACATTATCTCACTGGACAAGGAGCTGGGAAGAGATGTGTACAACTGGCTAGCACCACCAGGCTCCTGCATGCACTGCTACCTTCAAGCTCTTTAAGCAGAAGCAGCCAGGAGCAGATTAGCAGGTCAGAACATGACCCAAAGTCCTCACTCACATGGCCAGCACTGGGGAAGGCAGACTTCTTAGGCACCTGCTCACTCCAGAGGGGATCAGTCAGGAACTACGTCCTCACTCTTTCAGAAACATCCTGGTGGTACTCAACTCCCAACCTGGACTATCCAGACCACAGAATTAGCCTAAGAGTAAGGACAAGAAAAAGGATATGGGCATAGGGGCAAAAAGTATTTTTAAATTTAAGTGAATTATCTGTATTCATTTACTGGTAGCTCAGCTGGTAAAGAATCTGCCTGCAATGCAGGAGACCCCAATTCAATTCTGGGGTCAGGAAGATCCCCTGCAGAAGGGATAGTCTACCCACTCCAGCATTCATGGTCTTCCCTGGTGGTTCAGATGGGAAAGAATCCACATGCAATGCAGGAGACCTGGGTTCAATCGCAGGGTTGGGAAGATCCCCTGGAGGAGAAAATGGTAACCCACTCCAGTATCTTGCCTGGAGAATCCCCATGGACAGATTGAGCCTGGCGGGCTACAATCCGTGTGGTTGCAAAGAGTCAGACACGGTTGAGCGACTAAGCACAGCACACACGCCCTTTCAAACTATTAAGAGTGAATCATGGAGCAAGGCCACGGGATATATAATGCAGGTACAGTGGTGGCCCAGACGGCAGAGCATCTGCCTACAATCCGGGAGGCTCAGGTTCAGTCCCCAGGTCAGGAAGATCCCTGGAGAAGGAAACGGCAACCCACTCCAGTACTCTTGCCTGGAGAATCCCACGGACGGAGGAGCCTGGTGGGCTACAGTCCACGGGGCCACAAAGAGTCGGACACGACTGAGTGACTTCACTTCTTCTCTTAATGAGAAGCTGTTACCTTTTTTCTATAAAGCATAACCCTGGAGACATGAATCTACACATATATTTTTTTCTATAGAGAATTTAAGTGAACAAGGACCACTCGAAACCATGACTACTACATTATTACTAATAGGACCCAGTCACATTGGGTTTTTCACAATGTGAAAATAAGAAAAAATTTCTTTCCTCATCCACCATCTCATTGTCTTCATCAAAATCTGCTTAAGTATTTGTTTCACAGAACAGTGTGGAAAGCTGGCACATTTCCAAACAAAGTGAAAAAACCTAAATTCCCTGTTAATAGCAGATTTGTATAGGAATACTAGGCAGGCCACAGTTGTGCTTTTTTCCCGCAGAGTTCCGCAGTCCTACCGTGAGGTTTTAAAGGGCTCTGGCACGCTACGGTACTGACACAGAACCTTCCTGGCTAGAGGGTGGTGAGCCACCCAGCAGGGTCAGGCAGGATGACTTTCTCCTAGAAAGGGTCTCCAGTGTGGGCAAGGGGAAGGAAAGAGATAGCCCTTAGGCTAACCTGACAGTATGCTTCAGGATTGAAGGTATTGCTAATCAATGAAATGGGACAGCTAATTCAGATCCCTTGAGTCCTATGGTTCTGTCACTTTGATTTATATCTCTTCTGCAAGGACCTTTCCTTTTTGTTTTTTCCAGAGAAACCTGACGCAAGCTCTTCAAATTCTCTCCTAGACATGAAATATTTTAGAGATCATTTTGACTGTAAGTTTTTATGCTTTTTTATAAAATTGAAGAGCTGTGAGATCAGGAGAGGTAGAGAAGGAAGCAAAGTGCAACAGCGGAGCTGACAAGCTACATGTTCCCACAGGATAAGTCTTAAGCAATGTTCTTAGTGGAACTAACACAAAAGCAATGATCTGACCTTCTCATTGCATCATATCAAGAGGTGCGTGGTGTTGGTTTAACATTGTTGATAAATTGATTCACTTGGTTAAAGCTGCCACTGCCAAGTTGACCCATTGTTACCATTTTCCCCTCTGAAATTAGTAAGTTATTTGTAGAGCAGTATTTTGAGACTATGTAAATATCCTGTTTTTGTCAAACTTTCACCAATCAGTTTTAATTCCATTGATGTTTTCCCAACTCCATCTATTTTTCTATACTGATCATTTGGTATTTTACTGGAAAAAGCAACTTTTTCTTTCTTCCCATTTCCATCAGTAGGGATACATGGATTTTTGCTTTATTCAATAGATTCCATGTTATTTTGATGCTTAGATTGTCCCAGATTCAACCAGCAGGAACCTCTTTAAACCAGCTCCTGTGTAATTTGCTAAGTCCCCATCATTCTTCGAGCGTTTCTTTTTGCGGAAGACAATGTGCGGGGCTCATCTTGCATTTTTCCTACCTCTGGACTGCAATCAGTCTTCATAGAGCTCTGTGTAGGGTATATTTTTAAAAATTGGTCTTGGATAGTGATTGCAAGCCAGCTATATTTTTCACTTGCGGTTGGTAAATCACTCTTGTGAATTTGGCTAGCATGAAGAGTTTCTCCAGCATTTCAGCCACCCTCAGGGAGTTTGTGCAACTTGGGGGCAGACTCCAGATTGTAGTGTGTTAGTATAATCAGCTATGGGGATGGCCCGCCTGAAATGGCTTCACATTTCTAGGGCGACATACAGTTCTGGCATCTAATGACTCATTAGAGCCATGGGTTCAGTGAGGAGTGCTTGCGAACGCTAACACTGGGAGGCCAAAAACTAAAAGCTCATTCCAGGTCCAGGAAATTCTGAGGTGACTTACCTATTAGGACCACTTTTCCTGGTAACCTTGAGTTCTGAAGAATGAAGAAATGTCCTCCCACTTAACTGTTTGAGAACTCTCAATCTCCAAGAGCACAGATGACTGGAAAAGTCCACTGACGAGGCAAGTCTGGCCCATTTGACTTTATCTGTTGTTTTTCTGGGGAATGTTGAAATAGTCCAGTGAACTCCTAAGATCATTCTTAGAAATGAAGGGTCTTGATGTTTCTGAAATATTAATGCTAAGTTTTCTGATTACAATTGCTATTCTACAGGGCTTTAAAAGGGGCTGTGTCTTTTACAATTTGCACATATTTGAGAAACATTTCTCAAAATATTTCACCTTAAACCACTGATGAAAATGAGGACAGAAACAGAAACTTGTAAAAATACATCTTTTAATAAACATCAAGAAGTACAGTGCAGTTTTATCGAAGTTTTACACAGCAGTTTACAGCAAACATATTATCTATTATAGTGTATATTTATTTACAAGTAAAGTAAACTCAGGCATTTTTTCCTCCCATGGTTGGATAAACCAAAACTGGTGTTTCATACTACATTTAAGGTTTTCCAAACTGTTTCCCAACCTTCTGTAAAAGACCTTTAACATGAAGAGACTTGTAACAACGAAAGAAAGATATCCCCCATCACAATGACAGCCTGATGAATGCTCAAAAGTTATTTTAAAAATTTATAAATATATGGATTCCTTTGATGGCTTTGAAGAATAAGAATAGTTTCTGATAGCAAATCTGAAATATTAATGACAATAAGGGAAACAGCTGTTTCTTTTGCCAAGTGAATCCATAATAAACACTAATTTGAGGCTACAGTTTATGAAAAGAATCCAAAAAATGCTTGTAGTAAAAGTTCAACATTTTATATATATGGTCCCATGGACTAAAAACTGTCTAGAATATTAAAGGCTGGGTCTGCTTTTAACATTGTTTATAAAAAGAATGGTGGAATTCTTGACACTTCTGGACAAAGTCAGTGACAACAGGGACATAAATTAATTAGTAAAGGAGAAAATGAATATTAATCTCAAAATTCTACCTGCTGTTGTCTTGGAATGATCAAAACTCAGCTACATCCAAGAAGAGTAAAAAGAACTGAAGGAAATCAGAAGCTATCACTTAAAAACCAGAGTTTTGCATGCTTTCAACTGAAGGCATTTAAAAATTATACAACTGGATTTACTTGCTATTTACATAAACCAGTGCTTGGAATTAGCAACGAAAGTACTGCTTTATACACGGAAGTACCAGAAGCATATTCAGATTTGCAAAAGAGGCACAGTAACATGTTGATCATGCAACTAGTTGTATGTGAAATTTGTAATGGGTGATAGAACAAATTCCCCATGAACACAGTACTGATGTGGAGCAAATTACATCAAATAAGTAAGCAGCTCAAATTCCTAAGGGTGAAGACCCAATATCCCTGAATCTCTAAGCATTCATCTCGGTGTTAACACGGTTTCCTCTAAACATTATCCCATTGGAAGAGAGATTTTAAATACTTCTCCCTCTTTGATATGTCATCATATTTTTAGAGGTGAAAAGGGAACAATTGGTGGGTTTGTTTTTTTTACCACTGTGGCCCATCCAATTCTCATGAATCTGATACCCTGTTATCACAGCATCAAGGCTAAGGTAGGTGCTCTAAAGGATCCAACAAACTGAATTTCTGGTTCCAAATATTGCTGGTATTTACAATAAGCTTGTCTGCCAGAAAGCAATGTCTTTGGGTGAAATGTACTCCGAAACAATGACTGAGAAGTGAAGACCAGCTGCCACAGAGGTCAGTTAACCATTTGATCTTCCATCTTGCAGTAAAATCTCTTAGTAGATGGGACGAGATCTCATACTTTCCATGTATCTTCTACACCTAGTAATGTGCTGGGCAAAGATACACGCTCATGGAAATAATCGGTGATGGGGGCGGGAACTGAATCAAGAGTGAACATGGTCATGGGGAGGCCATGCCTCACCCCACCCATCACCCGAAAGGCAGTCACCCTGATGAGTCTCTGCTGTTGTCACCGAAGAACAGACACTTGTCCCCTGCTACTATCTGAAGGAGAACTAACCACTCGGGCCTTTTTATTCCTTTCTCCTGGTCACTAAGAGATTCCATGTGGGCCTGAGTGCCACCTGGTCGATGATATCTGGAAGAAAAGTTTTTTTTGCCTCAAAGGAAGCACCGATCTGTCACCTGGCACAGTTTAACTCTAATAATACAACTTATAGAACCATTAGCTTTTATAATTAGGTTAAATGTTATCCATACTAACAGATATTTTCAAGGTTAGGCTTATTCTCTCTGACATCACTTAAAATACATTTTATTTTTAAACATAGGCATGAGGTAGAAGATAAGAACTCACGAAAGAAAGTCATCTTCAAAATACCAAACTCTATTCAATACAATTAGCCCCGAGAAAGAAGTAAGAAAAGTTACAGTCTAAGCTGGTAGACTGGCTACTGAAAAACTATTACCCTTACCTGAAAAAAGAAAAGGCTTAATTTGAAACTGTCCCTTTTTTCCCACCAATTTAAGGAATTACAGAAAAAGGGCAATACATATTCTGACATTCTGAAATATTTCTAAGGATCGCATACAACAGCTCCTCTTAATAATCATTTTTTACTATGTGGCTCTAACTCACCTCAATTGAGACACAGGTCCTTTCTACCTAAGTAACTGATCAGATATCAACATGAAGGTTAAAAATGCTTTGAGCACAAGAAGCAAGATAAAAGGAATGATTCACATTTAAAATATTGTACTTTTCATAAAAACTAGCAGCACTTCATCCTACCAAGACATACAGATTTGGCTTCATCGACTGATCAGGAACAGAGGAAAATGGATATAGGTCCAAAACAGCTCCTTCACTAGGGAAACGCGAGGCTACAAGTTTTCTTTAAACAACGATTTCCCCATTAGGTGGTGTGGGAAACAACTGGGATGTCGATTTCAATGGCAGAGAGGCGGGAACGGGCCGAATAGGGCTGTGAGTATGTATGCATACCGGGAGGATGGGAGTACAGTGGCTGCCAGAAAGGAGAAGGCAAGGACTTACAAGCACAGTACCAAATAAATAGTAGCAGCGCTGTCATAAACAAGCCCCCAGCACTAGCCACAGTGACATACACAGCATAGTCAAACGCAAAGACTGGCTCGAACTTCCTGTTCAGGTGGATGTTGTAAAAGATGACCCAGATGGACGGGGAGAGGCTCACAGTGCCTGCCAGGAAAAACAGCAGTCCGGCCACCAGATGGCAGCCCGCACTATTGACCAGGCACTTAGCCAGTTTGATGTTGGGCACGGAGGACCTGAAGGCCGTGTTACACATTCCGATCAGGCAGAGCAGTAGGGCTCCCATCGCGATCAGGATGCTGAGGGGCAGCGCAAACTGGAGGACCCGCAGGTCCAGCTGGTCCACGGAGGAGTACCAGGTAGCGTCGTACATCAGGCAGTCATGGCCCCCGTCATAGCGGGCGCACTTCACCCACAGGCCTGTGTAGACGGTCAGGTTCTTCTCGTTTCTGTTGAATGTGATCAGGCGTAACTTCCTCCAGTTGGGAAGCAGCGTGCCCGCAAAGAGGCCTGCTACTGAGGCGATTCCACACAGGAAGGAGAGGACGGTGGCCGCGTGGACATCCCGACAGCCCATGGCAGGCAGGCAGGCGTGTGCAGTACTGCCAGTCAGACTGGGGGACACAGAAGAGGACAGATCATGAGGGGACCCCGGGAGAGCAGAGCAGGAAGGGTGGGGCTGCCTGGAAACACAACCAGGGACGTGGCTCAAACAGGGGGGCTCTGTCCCGGGTCTCCACGTGCAGTAGGAACGGGCATGAGCACACGCGCCCGTGACCGCAGGGCACTGGTGTACACACACACCGCTGCTTACCACCGACTGGTCACACAGCAACCCAAGTCTTCACACATGAGCCTTTTCCTACCCAGTGAATCAGAGGAACAACCAACATAATTCCAAATTCGCTTAACATCACATCTGAAATTCTCTCAGTTTTCAAAAATCACTCATTCAACACCCGTGTATCAGGCACTTGGATGTGTCAGACACTCAAATGTGCAAACCATCAACTCCAAACACAAATCCAGCCTCCGATGCTCACGCAGATGTGAAAGGAGACTAGCGGAACAGGCAAAGGTGTGGGCAAGAGGGCAGCAGGGCAGCTGAAGGCACATGCTGAGCTAGACGGCGTGAATTCAAGCCCCCGCTTCCTCAGTTACTAGCCAAGTGACCCAAGTGACTTGGGATCAGCAACACTACTGTGTGCCTCATTTTCCTCATCTGCAAAATGCGGAGAGTAACAGTGCCTAACTCACAGATTTTCTAAGTATTCAATGAATGAATACGACACCAAGTGCTTAAAAGTGTATCTGGCGCCTTGGAAGTGCGATGTGAGTGTCAACTATTCTAAGCACTCGGTGATCAGCTCAGTGTTGGCCATCATGGAGCAGTTCAAAGAACATCTGTGGCATAAATGTTAAATAAGGAGCAGCAGACAGCTCATCCCTATGTACTGGGTTAGACTCCTCTCCAATGAGTCAGTCAAACCAAAAAGACAGAAAAAAAGGCCCCTGACGTTATTCTGCTTCACCACTTCCTCACTGATTCACGATGACTGGCATGCTTTTCAGATTCAACTATTGGTTATTGGTTATAATACTGACATACTACTATTGGTTAGACTACTATTACTGCTCATATAAGATGAATGCAAAGGTTTCTGAAATGACAACCTGTCTCTACTAATGCTAGCAAGACCCTTCATCTCAAATTAAATGGCTGGGCTCTTTATCTGTATATGACATATTATAAAAACCAGTATGTTATTCAGCTTTATATCTTCAGGAGTTTGAAATTCTCTCTCCAAACACCACTCAAATGTATTTTTTTTCTACCTTCTATCACGTCTCCTGCAAGGCAACAGAACAGACTGCTTTAATTTACGATATATTTAGTCCAATCACAGAAACTGGGAATAATTTTAGTAGCAGAAAACATATATGTGTACAATACTTATACACACACATATGTAGGGTACAATATAAAAATCAGTTTAAGTAATTTTTATATTGTAAAATATAAAAGTGACTATTTTTTAAGGTCCTCAAGTTAACAATAACTAGTTGTAAGTTTTCCTGTTCTTAGTTTACTATTTGTTTATCATGTTGTCTTCTGTCAATATTACCAAAAGTAGTAATTGTTTTAAAAAAAAAAATGTTATGGATGAAAATACTTAGAGGAATTATGGTCATAATTTTTTTTTTTCCTGCAAATTTTAAATGCCTGATTTTAGCAACCAGCCGACCAACCACCTGAGTCCAACAGTGGAAACTCTGGTGCAGGTTTGAGGACGTTTATGCTGGAAAATGCCACTGGTCTTGTCAGTCTCTAGAATCCAGCTTTCTGTTGGTTTCTGCTCATTTACCTTCTCCCCAGTACACTGACAGCAACTTGCAGAGTGCCTGGCACACAAGTCATTTTAGGAATATTTGATAAATAAATACTAGGCTCTGATCCAAGACCACAGTAGCTTAACGTAGGTAGGCTCTTAATGGTATAGAACTGGACAAGGAAGTAGCCATGACTACGCAATCACTCATTCAGCAGGGACTTACTATTCAGCACATGCAGAACACTATGTCAGGTCCTAGAGGCACACCCAGACCATGAAGATCTGTCTGGACTTTGCCCCAATATGTTAACCATCAGACTGAGGGAAAGAATACGCTGTTTTATCAAGACTCAAAGTGCAGATCATGAAAAAGGTGTCTGATTACTACCTATCAAGTGATCATTGTTAGGTATCAACCAAAGTGACTCAATAAGATATACCAGTTCATAAAAATGAATAATTCAGGGTGAGAGAAAAACTGAGCAATGAAAAGAAAGACGATTTAATCAACATTTGAAGATGTTTAAAAAAAAAAAGGTTTCCCTCAATTCCTTTCAAAGCTTCAGAACACCTTCAGATTACCACTGCTAAGTCCTAACGCAATCACAATTCCTTCCTGCTTTCAGAGGCAGGGGACAAATACTTGGAGTATCAGTATAATTGAGTTTTCTTCATTCAAGCTCCCCTGTACCCCTGATTCCTACAAATGGAATGAGAAACAAGATCAAAATGAATTTTATTACTAATAAATAAATTTCCAAAGTTCTTAGCCTACAGACTATCAAATGACACTAATAAACAGAGCTGGATCAATATTTAATATCTATTTCAGTTTAAAATGTGTTCAAATTTATCCTGCATCAAATCAATCCAGGTATTGCATCAGTCCCCTGAATTTGCTTCTGCTCAAGCATACTTGCCTCAGATCCCAGAAACTAACTAAAAGTCCTATTTTTAGGGAGCCAACAAGTATACCTGGAGCGGCAAGCGGCCGAGAGGAGATACCCCACATCCAAGCTAAAGAGCAGCAGCTGCGCTTTGCTGGAGCAGGCATGAAGACATACCCCACGTCCAAGGTAAGAGAAACCCCAGTAAGATGGCAGGTGCTGAGAGAGGGCATCAGAGGGCAGACAGACTGAAACCACAATCAGAGAAGACTAACCAATCTAATCACATGGACCACAACCTTGTCTAACTCAATGAAACTAAGCCATGCCGTGTGGGGCCACCCAAGACGGACGGGTCATGGTGGAGAGGTCTGACAGAATGTGGCCCACTGGAGAAGGGAATGGCAAACCACTTCAGTATTCTTGCCTTGAGAACCCCATGAACAGTATGAGAAGGCAAAAAGATAGGACACTGAAAGATGAACTCCCCAGGTCGGTAGGTGCCCAATATGCTACTGATGATCAGTGGAGAAATAACTCCAGAAAGAATGAAGGGATGGAGCCAAAGCAAAAACAACACCAGTTGTGGATGGGACTGGTGATAGAAGCAAGGTCCGATGCTGAAAGAGCAATATTGCATAGGAACCTGGAATGTTAGGTCCATGAATCAAGGCAAATTGGAAGTGGTCAAACAGGAGATGGCAAGAGTGAGTGTCAACATTCTAGGAATCAGCGAACTAAGATGGACTAGAATGGGTGAATTTAACTCAGAGACCATTATATCTACTACTGTGGGCAAGAATCCCTTAGAAGAAATGGAGTAGCCATCATAGTCAACA